CTTTTTTTAGATGAAAAAATCCAAACAACTTGTATATCAAAACAAAACATTTATTAAATGAAATAGTCTCCATTCTTATCAATGATGCTTTTCCATGTTACAATCAGGTTGTCAATGCCCTGATTAAAGAAATCACTTGGCTTTGAAGCAAAAAGCATGTCGATGTCCTCGTTAAAACCTTCCCTTCCACATTTGCATATGTTTTCTCATTAAGATGGTATTGCAGTGAACGAAAAATATGGTAATCTGATGGTGCCATATCTGGAGAATATGGTGGATGTGGGAGAACTTCCCAACTCCATGATCTTGTTGTATCAAACTTACCACATATAGATGTGCATTGTCGTGGAGAAGAAGAAGAACACCTTTCTGATTGACAAGTGAAGGGCATTTCTGATGAAGGACTTGATTTAAACGTTCCAGTTGCTGACTATAGGTCTTTGCATTGACAGTTCACTGTGGATTGAGGAGTTTGAAATGAATTATTCCTTTGATGTCCCTCCAAACGCAAAGCATCACTTTCTGCGAATGGAGTCCAGGTTGGGGTCAGAAGTGGTTTTTGTCTAGGGCTGAGCCATTGTTTTTAGCATTTATTATTCAAATAGAGAAACCATTTTTCATCACTGGTGATAATTCTGTCCAAAAATGGTTCATGCGCCAGAAGAGATGAAGCAACCTTCACACATTTGGAAACGATGATCATCGGAGAGTTCGTGAGACACCCAAACACATTCTTTAAGGAGTTTTCCCATATTCCTTAGATGTTTACGTATTGTTTCATGAGAGACATGCAATTTCAGGGCCATTTCATGAGTGTGTTGCCTTTGGGTTAGACTCAATAACCGTATTCAGAGCATCAATATCAATTCCAACATGTCAGCCCCTGTTCAAAACATTTCCATAAACTTCTTTGATATTCTTTACGACTACAGAGGCGTTGTTTCCCATCTTGTATTCAAATAGCATTACATGTCCAATGTGTGTCTCGTTGTGTACCATCACTATAAGGGATTAGAGTATACTAAACTTTACACATTATATAGGTTACACTAACGTGACATTTAGGTGGTTCGTTTAACTATTATACATGATGTACGTTTTTTGGGGGGTGGTTAATGAAAGTGTTTCAAAACACAAAATTAATTTCTTGACAACCTAATACTTCTCCAATGGGCAAATTATAATGGCAACCCTTGTTGTCTCTGATACAAACTTGATGTCATTGGCATCGATCGATATGAATTGGCCACCATGTTTAATGGTTTTTAATCAAGATAACTTCAAAGATCAGTGACTATTTTGATTAACGAGTTGCTGTTCTTATGATAACCTCACTCCATGAGAAACATGCAGCAGTGGCATTCAAAATTTATGGGTAAAATATTTATATAAATATTCATACCCTACCACACCAAGCCATACACACAACATCGAATCCTCCAAGTGTCAGTAAAAACTTTACTTTATAGAAGTCAAAAGTGCGAGTCACTTTTACATTGAATATATCATCGTGTGATATCAGACCACAGTTCCCCTTTATAGCAGATATCAGTATCATCTGACACAAAACACTTGGCCACAAAAGCCGAATTTCCCAGTGTTTAACACAGGGACAACCCATCCTCACCCCTCTGGACTGTGAATATATCATCATGTGATATTGGACTACAGTTCCTCTTTATAGCAGATATCAGTATCATCTGACACAAAACACTTGGCCACAAAAGCCGAATTTCCCAGTGTTTAACACAGGGACAACCTATC